TTGAATAAACTTTTTAATGAACCCCATATATCAGCGATCTTAATAAGTAGCAATGAGTACCTGTGCCATGATGACTTCACCAAACCGTGAGAAATAAGTCTTCAAGTCATCGTCTGTGCTCTTTTAAGGCAAACCCAGCACTATTAGGTTACAGCACTTCTTGCTTTGTTTTCACGTTGCGATTTTCCAGGGTCTCATCTCATCTTTTCTCTAAAACGGTATCACTTTCCAATTACTATTAATACTGTATTTAGAAATAACCATAAGATTTTTAAAAGGTTACATCATAATGCTAAAAATGTCAAGGTCTTGTTAATAATAATAATAATAATAAAAATAATAATAATATAAAATGCAATCCTGTGCAGTTTTTTTTTTAAGATTTGTATTCGGACCAGAAAATCTTGACTCAGACCATTAGTTTTTGGGAAAGTTGAGGTCCGAATGGCCAATAAGATGAAAAGTTTATGGAAAAGACTGCAACTGAAATAATCAATTTCCTCTATTTCTCTCCCCAATAACACGGATTACCTTTAGGGGTTTTCCATCTCATTTAAACAACACATACCTTGGACGCTTCTCCAATGCAGCCACCTCGTAGACGGACCATGGCGGGACTCGCTGCACGCTCCTCCAATGCAGCCACCTCGAAGACGGACCATGGCGGGACGCGCTGCACGCTCCCCCAATGCAGCCACCTCGTAGACGGACCATGGCGGGACTCGCTGGACGCTCCTCCAATGCAGCCACCTCGTAGACGGACCATGGCGGGACTCGCTGGACGCTCCTCCAATGCAGCCACCTCGTAGACGGACCATGGCGGGACTCGCTGGACGCTCCTCCAATGCAGCCACCTCGTAGACGGACCATNTCAGGCTTACATTTAAGGTTTTTCCATTTCAGTTACACACTACATACCTTGGACGCTTCCCCAATGCAGCCACCTCGTAGACAGACCATGGCAGGATGCGCTGGACGCTCCTCCAATGCAGCCACCTCGTAGACGGACCATGGTGGGACTCGCTGGACGCTTCCTGAATGCAGCCACCTCGTAGACGGACCGTGTATGGACTCTCTGGCACCAAGGGATCGGAGTCGCTGAAGCGTAGATGTGGACCTTGTCTCCTTACAGTTGTCAGTGGAAGCTTAATCGAGAATCGCCACATCGAGTTCTGTTGACAGAAAGAAAAACGGATTAATGACTTTTTCTACCTATGTCAGCACTTTGCGGTAAGGCTTACATTTAAGGTTTTTCCATTTTACTTAAACACTACATACCTTGGACGCTTCCCCAATGCAGCCACCTCGTAGACGGACCATAGAATGGCGCGCTGGACGCTATTCCTTTGCAGCAACCTCGTAGACGGACCATGGCTCGACTCGCTGAACGCTTCCTGAATGCAGCCACCTCGTAGACGGACCATGGATGGACTCTCTGGCACCAATGATTGAAGCATAGATCTGGTCCTCTTCTCCTTCCTGTAGTTGGAGCTCCCTCGAGAATCGCCATAACCGAGTTCTGTTAATAGAAAGAAAAACGGATTAATGACTTATCCACGTATGAAAGCACTCTGCAGTCAGGCTTACCTTTTATCTCAGTGAAACACCACATGCCGTGGACGCTTCCCCAATTCAGCCACCTCGTAGACAGACCGTGGCGGAACTCTCTGGCACCAAGGGATCGGAGTCGCTGAAGCGCAGATATGGTCCTCTTCTCCTTGCAGTTGTCATTGGAAGCTCTATCGAGAATCCCCATATCGAGTTCTGTTAACAGAAAGAAAAACAGATTAATGACTTTTTCTACCTATGTCAGCACTTTGCGGTAAGGCTTACATTAAAGGTTTTTCCATTACAGTTAAAAACTACATACCTTGGATGCTCCCCTAACGCAGCCACCTCGTAGACAGGCTATGACATGACTCACTGGCACCAAGGATTGATCGGAGTCGCTGAAACGTAGATGTGGCCCTCTTCTCCTTGCAGTTGTCAGTGGAAGCTCTATCGAGAATCGCCAAATCGAGTTCTGTTAACAGAAAGAAAAACGGATTAATGACTTTTCCTACCTATGTCAGCCCTTTGCTTCCTGGACCTGTAATAAGAAGAAACCTGGAATGCATAGAAATATACATGCAACGACAATACAATAATAGCCCACAACAGAAGAAGCGACGAAGTTTCCTGCGAAGATTCCTGGGCGACGATTCCACGTGGAGAGAAGCGAAGACTTTAGCTGGCCAGCTTAGAGAAACGTCGAATCCACCGTTAAGGCGTCTGCGTGTGCAAGAATCGACATGAGCGATACGTTGACTTGAAAAGATTCGGAGAAATGTGAGTCGACTCCTTTGTCCTTTTTGCTTGATATGGGGCGCAGTACACGGCATCCTTCTTGTTGCTCCTGATCTGTCTGCGTTGAATGAACACAATTTCAAAATTTCGCGCTTTTATACCTTCAGTGATAGAAAGTCACATGGTGGCGTTCCTGGTCAACGTTTTCATAGGGGGTGGCGTTTGATAGTGATTCCCATACTTGATTATAAAATCTTTTAACCTACATTATTTTATTAACTTATGTTTATTTGATTATTCTGTTTATCATTTTATTTTATAATAAGAGTAATAAGCACTAAGCAGTGATTTCCAAATTAAACGGCCAAATTCTATGGCAATTTTTAAGCAATATACCTTCTCCCCAAAATCATGATAGGCCCGATGTCCGTTAAACTGGTACGGGTAGCCGCGAACTTCTCACTTCTCGAAGGCCACTATAGATAATAGGGCGAAGGGTGACTGCAGTTTCGAGGCAGCCCGAGGGAGCATGATTGTTTTGTTTGTAATGTACTGTAGTGAGTCAGTTGAAAGTACACTGGACTTAGCATATAATGCCACCTCAGCACTCTCAAACATATTTTGTAATCAACTGAGTTGTTATTCTGATAAATGAAAAGCAAGTTTGTGTGATTTTACGAAACGAAAGAAAGAAGCAGTCTGTCATATCAGCAATTTCAAAGGGGGGGTTCTTTTTCTAAAAAAGTGGATCTTTTACCATATAATCCCCATGTAACTAGGTCAAATTTTACCCCGGGTGAACCTTTTTCCAGCAAAAGGGGGATTCTTTCGACGTAACAGCTCCATTTGTGTTGTGAGGTGGTTGACACTGCTTGCAAATCGAACTCGGGACTTGCTTCGCCTGCCACGAGAACACTCACTATTTCTCAATTTATAGGTTCATTTAACATTAACATTTTTTATTAAGAATTAACGAGAAAAAACTCGTTTGTCCAAGTGGAATTTTACTTACATCAGTCTTACAACTTTTAAAAAATCACTGCAAATAAATAAATAAATAAATAAATAAATAAATAAATAACTTCACCTGTTATGACAAAAAAAAAAACATAAACGGACTTAAATTTAAACCATTTAACTGTTGCTCGCAGCGCCAGCTCACACTCTACAATCTAATGTACAAATCAAGAAGCGAGTATGATGTTTCAGAAAATGCCCATGTTTAATTTAAATAACACAATGAATAGGTTGCCGCTACGTTCGCGGTGTCACCTGGCTTTTAATAATTAGGAAAAAGTCGTGCGATATTTTGTTGCAGGTCATTATTTTTAGTTGTTTGATGCTTTTTTAATGTTTCAGCCATTTAAAGAATCTGAAGACGATATGATGACAGAACAGAGGTATTTTTTTAGACGAAACTGCACTCTCATAGACAGTAATTTACAACAGTAATTTGTAAAACCTTCGTTAAAAGGCACTGTGAAAAATATACTTGAAGTTGAGGACAAAATGTGCCAGTAAAATAAATGTGCATCTAGTAACCCCTTTAGGAAGGTCTAATTTTTTAAAAGTATGAATAACGTGCGAATATTATCCAAAGTGGTTGTTTTTTTAACCCTCTTTACTGAATAGGAAAAATTTCCGTACTAGCAAGGAATGAATCGGAAATTGCTTGGGTTATAACACAAAAAGATAGATTTATCACTTTTTGTCACAATAGGTTTAGAAAAAGAATTCTCGACACCCCACCCCCTATATTACCGTTACTCGGCATTCCCGGTAGAAACACGTTTTATAATAAAACGTCACTGTCAATGTTTAGGTAGTTGTACACCACACAGTTTACTGATGTGCCTTACATCACTCCCTTAAATATCTCCCCAATTTCGATTTCAGATAGTTATTCAGTAACGGACAAAACTATAACAAGGTATTCTGATACAGACAAAACAATGCTCAATACTTGCCTAGATACAAAATTTCAGAAACTTTAAAACAAGCTGGGTCTAGTAACTCGAAAGCATCGCGTATTGCGACCGAGCTCAAGTGTCTCAGTTCCATAACTCGCTCTTACTCGCCCCATATGGGGGTTACCCTCTACCAGGGTCGCAGTTATAATTGTGGACATTTCTTGCTGATGACATCAGACCAAAATGACTGTCTATTTATCTAGAGACATATCTGTGAATATCTGTGAAAAATCAATATATCGCCCTGGTAGAGGGTATTAAAACGAACAGTGCAACAGACATGAATGGAATGAAACGAAAATCGGTTTAATAAATATTTATTTTAAATGTTACAGAAGAAAACACAAATTACAGTAGGCCTACATTTTAAGATGTTCAAGATCTTAGAATGTCAGTTTCAAACTGCACATGTTATATTCAAGTATGGCCCGAAACTGGGTTGACTGGTAGAACAAACCTTGGTAGTAAGAACTCTTATATACATCTGAACGTCTATTTGGATCTTTTAATAATAATAATTTATTGTCATATTTATACAAATATAAAATGAAAGTTGGTATGATCTGTCGATAAAATGTGATACAGTGGAATTATTAAAATACATTTTGTTCATTAAAAATACGTACTGCTGATGGATAAAAACTATTCTTAGTGCGCGTGGAGGTTGCTTTTAATGACCGCAGTCGGCTTGTTGACATATGCATAAGTAGGCTATTCGCTGGGTGACTCTGGTTTTCTCTTAAATGACACATCCTCGATACGAGAGGGGCGTTAATTTTACTATACTGCCATAGCACCCACGCTAAGGGGGTGGAGGGGGGAGAGGAAAAAAAACCTAATTGACAATCTTTTACAAGTTTCTTCAGTTACGGATTATTATTAGTAAATCTTTCAAAATGTTTTATATATGAAGACACAGGCAAATTTATATCGGTTTTCAAATTATATGAGCAAACTTGGAATATTTTTACATATTTTCACGTAGAACCGTAAATAAAGAGCAGCGTGCCGCTGGTAGTTGTACCGGGAACCAGTTGGTTGAAGGGCACGCTTTTCACGTAATTTGCAGCTGCTACCTGTGCTGAGGCACTGGCGTGCGACGTGGCCGCATGACAAAAGGCTGCCCAACCCTAAAAACACAGGTAATACAAAGTGAGTTTTATATTTGGAATTTATCTTTCGGGAAAGCCTGCAATATTGGCCATGTTTCGAACCCATCAGTCAAATTTGGGGAACGTTGGCCCAGTGTTTTCTTTACTTTTATCATATACACTTTTATATAGTGACTATATACTTATTGAATAAAACTAAATTATTGGATTTTTTATGTTCATTTACGTTTCATAGGGCCACAAATACTTATAAAAGAAAGAAAATATTTCAAAAAATGATTAAAATATGTCTTACCTTTACCACAGGGGTTAGCTTAGATTTGTCGACCAGATTGGAGCCTGGGGCGGAGGTTGGATTCAAAGCCCAACCGCATACCTTGCTCACAGACACAGCCCAGTCCTGAAGACATCATTATAGATAATAATATGTAGCCCCCTAATGCCAATCACAAAGGCAAGAAAACAGACTGGGAAGAATGCATTAAGTATGTCAGCCACAGAGATAAATATATTATCAATATATCTTGTGAAATGCTTTGTAGAATAGAGACAAAATCAACTAGACAAAAGAATCATTTAACTTTAAAGTTAAAACGATTAAAACGACATATAAAGAATTTATCTTTTTTTTTTTTCAGTTTTGTCAGCTGCAAGAAAAAATGAGGCACCCTCACTTTGTCCATCCAGTATTTGGATACAGCAGTGATTGGAATGGACTGTATGCCAACCAGACACGCGTGTCGCATCGGGAACCAATTTGGGTCACATGCCCAATCAAGGGTATACAGGTAAAAGGAGCCTTCTCCAATCTGTCCAACAACGCCATAGGTTTGTAAAGTGGGCGGGAAGTGGTGCAAGTTATGGGGGCGCACTTGCCAATACTCTCGAACTGAGGCAATTTCCTGTGCCAACATAAGGCGACCCATCTGCTCCACGGAGGCCATTTTGGTGCCAAATCCCAGTGCCGCCAAGCCGTGATAGCAGTTGATCGCCTGGTATAAAAGTCAAATACTGACATGTTCATAAAATATTGCAGCATTCACATATTCAGCCATAAGCACTACATTTAACAGCAAAGCAGCATACGAACGTTAATTGTGTCACATAACACAACAACTTTTCTAAATCTGTTCAGTCTCTGCTTTTATTGACGATCCTAAATCAAACGACTAACCAGATGTTTATACAATGTGATCAGCAACATGAGGAATCTAGGCTTAGCCCTGCTGTAGCTTGTGTATTCTATTATGTTTTTAATAAAAGAATATCTAAATATAATGATAGATGAAAATATAGATGAAAATTCCCAATAATCGAGTAAGAATTGGTAGACAAAGAAATTCCTAAGAAATGAAGTAAATTGAATCTCAATGTGTACCGTACCCACGTGCAGGGGAAGGTTAACTAAAAAATCCCGGAACTGCGCACGATCCCCGAAACTAACCTCAGAAGCGGATTCCTCCTGCCGTGTCCCTGGACCTACACCAGTTGCCCAGGAGAAACCCATAAATGTGTCCTTGTGCCGTACAATGGGGAAGTGTGTATCTCTATAACTAGGATTTCCAACGTCGCGGGCCAGGAAAAGGATCCTTTCTCGATTGGCTGGAAATTTTACAATGATAGTTAGATATTTCCCTAAAAATACCACCCCTTTCAGGGAAAAGGACTTCATTCTATCCTATTTAAGTTTTTTTCCTGGATGCTAATTTTACATGTAGATTAAACAAATACAGTGGAGTCTTAAATTCGTCAATTAATAAAGAGTAGAGGAGACAGTGTCATTTGGCCTTCAGTAACTTTAGTTGTTTTTTTTTTTAAATTTATTTACGTGTTGTTTACAGCGGCAGCCTTCTATATTCTGTTAACGACAAGCTTTATTTTTATAGTCTAATCAAACAAACACAAGCATCAAATTAAATTATCAGAAGCATCTATATACCAGTAACCAAAAGAGTTGTTCTCATGTCTCAATAAAAACTATTTCTCTACCTTTGGCCCAAGAGGGGTAATACTTAGTGTAATATCCCAAAGCATACATGAAGTACCCGAGGTGAAAGTGGTGATCGTTGTACGTTGGAAATCCAAAGTCAGCTCCGAGGTTAATAGGCTGCCCATCCGGCACGCCACGCACCATCAGTCCTCCCCACACTGTGTCGTAGTGAAGTTTGTTGGAGTTGGCTAGTCCTAAGATCATAAAAACAACAGGCGCACGCAATTCTTTATTTAGTAAATCTCTAAAACATTTTGAGATCGGCCGATGAGGGTGGGTTTGCAGCATTTGTGTACACGCAAACACTGTTTACGATACCAATGAAACCATTCACTAAAGTCTACGTCAATATGATGCAGGCAAACCTCTTGCATTCAAAAATACATAATGCAATTGGTGTAAATATAACAGACTTCCAGTTCTCATAATATATATATATATATATATATATATATATATATATATATATATATATATATATATATATATATTCATTGAAAAGAAATCTTACTCCCTTAATTCTAAAAACACCCACCGTCCTTTATCCGCAGCCACAATTCCAGACACTCTTCGATTTGGACGTCCAGGCTCTTGTAGTGTGTGGTTCCAAAAGCCCTTGAAATACTAGCCAGCCGAGCAGCAGCACCAATCGCTTTACCTGCGCCATAACTGTTGGAAGCCTTGCAGACGGGTGTAAGCGGTTGTTGACGAACGTCTGAATCCAGTGCTTTCATTATGTCCTTTATGTAATACAGTAACATACAAAAAATAAAAAAATGACTGGCGACAGCTAATTATACATAATATTGTAGAACAATTGTTCTCCAGCTTCCTGGGTAGTTCTAATTGTTTGGACGATTCAACCTGAATTTGGTAAAAATGTATTGATTTGCCTCAGTCAAAAAGGGAAGCACGAACTTTAGGATCGTCCCCTGCGAATTTTGGGTGCAGCGGAGGCAGTGGAGGTCTTAGAGGTAGAGGAAAGGGCAACGGTCCCACTAGACAAGCGTACGAAAGGCGTAACTCTGCCCTGCACGTCGCAATTGACCATAACTAGAGAAATGTTCGATTTTGTTCGTAAGTTGTGAGGGCGTGCGTCCTTCTCAACGTTAACACGTAAAGGACACTTGCTCTTTCATTGCTTGCGAGGACTTACGTGGCAGGTGAGATTCTGCACAAATTTTGGACGCAAACAGGGCGTAATAGCCAGCGCGACCGGTTCACATGAACATTTAGACCCCAGTGCACAGAACTGTCTTTGGATCTTTTTGGATTCAGGTACTTTATATTCTATCGGCTTTCATATACGTTATAAGAATATTCAATTAACACTATTACGATGACTGTCAAAAATGCATAACAATAAGAAATTACGAATGTTCAAAAATATATTCATAAAACTTGCATCTTGTATACTAAACCTTTTACCTGATGTTGTTGGGCATTTTGTTTTATCTTTTGCACAGCAGTCATATCAGGTTCCATACTGCCATCGGGAAGGTCTAACTCCTGCAACCAGCTGTCTGCCGCCAGGGCCTTGAACCCATATGGGGTACCCGTTATGAACCCGCCTTGCCCCTTCAACAGTTGTTCCTGGAATGAAAGAGCTTATGGTATTAAAATAAGCCTAAGAAAAAATGCGGCTGTTACCCGACGCAAATATAATTGGAATGGAAACCATTTCCTGTATAGTATCTCTAATTTGATTTTATTTTTAAACAAATAAGTTTTGAGTCTTTTTTCTTTAACCGAGCAGTTGACGCATCCTTTAACAATTGCTTATCTGGTATCACATTGCATTATCTTCAATTTAGAAAGGCAGTAAAATATGTCAAATTTGAAAATAAAGACGTTCAGGTGAAGGGCGTGCAAACTTTTTCAAATCCAATGTCAAGTGTTTTTTTTTTTATCTTGTCTTTCAAGCCTTGCTTGAATCAGTTGACTTGCCAGAACAACCTTTATTACAATGTACACTCACGTGATGTGGCATAACAACCATCAGGAGCTGTCCACTGCCAGAGATCCCCTTCACGATTTGTTTGTTCCAGTCGAAACTGATGTAACCCTTATCTCCCTTCACACAGTATTTGGTCTCGGGTTTGTATGCGTAAGTATTAGCATACCTGTCCAGAAAGTCGGCCACAGCGAGGTTTCCTCTTGGAGAGACCCCGCTATAAGCCAACTGCATTATACCGGTGAACTTGCCTCCGGTGTGAGGTGAAAAAGTCAGATCGCCGTTGGTTTCTACTTTGGGTGTCATTGCCGTTGAAAAATACAGAACAAATTTGCGGGTCTGTTTCTTTATCCGCCCTCTTGGTTCATCTACTTCGAGAACGAATTTCGTGGAAGAGGGCAAAGTGTTGCTAGTGTCCCTTCGTCGTCTGTTCGTACTGGTTGCTAAGGACCTGCACGTTTTTAACTCTGGATGGTTTATCCAATCATTTGGAAGGACGTAGTGATATATAACATTCACAGCAAAACTGAATGCACCTGAAATAATGATAATGCTAAGGCTTTATCCCTGATTTTGGCATTTTTCTGACTGATTGTTTTCTGGCTGAAAAGTTTCGACCCATTTTAATTTAGGTATGAAGATCACTCGTTATATCGGCCCCAGAGCAGGTGCTACGAGTGAGGCCATGTTTACTTACCATTTGATAAACCAGTGCGGATAGTGACGGTGCGATTTCCGTTGGCTAAACTGCATGTGGAGCTCATACAATTATGCATGTTATGACTTCTTGGCCATTGGCTCGAAGGTGCTCCCGCCCACTGTACAAGAGAGACATCTAGCGGCTTGGTGGAATGCAACAGTATGACTAATTCTCCTCTGTCACAGGTTCCTTCTAGAAACCCTTCACCACCATCGGCGGCTGAGAGGAAGAGTTTTATACAAGCATTGTATACGTTCGTAGATAAATCTCATGAATTTTTCTTTGCTAAAAATTCTGAAAATTAGTTCCACTAAACATGTAGGCTTAACTGCAAGTGTTAAACCAGTTATGTTATTTAGAAATAAAGTTTAAGACCGCTTGTGTGACAACCGATTTTTTCCTGTTAACAGGCCGTTTGTCGCGAAAACTGTAACATTGCACTTTCAACGTTTGATATAACAAATGCCAATACAATTATAGTACTTAAGTATATAGTGATAATGACATCTGGAAAAACCGTTAATGTTAACCAACGGAATAAATCTCAACTTCTTCTTCTTCTCTCAAAAATTGACTTCATACAATAGCTAGCTGTTTGGCATAATAAAACATCTACATGGATATTCGAACTTTCAAATACTTAATTTAAAATCAACGTAAAGAAAAAAACACATTGTCCAGATAATGCTCACCAGATGGCTCTGTTGGACAAGGTGGTCTGATTGGCACCTGCTGCCCATTCACGGAGTACAGACAGAACGCTCTTATGTTGGGATTGGCGTTAGTGATGCGATGGGTCATTAAAGGGCTTCCACGCACAATGGGTACCTGAAAATAATCATCAACTCCAAACGATGTGACAGATTTTGAATTAACGGATACAGCTATTAAATTACAATATTTTCCTTGAAATATAGTTTTCTGGTAGTAATGAGTATGTGGCCCCTTCCAATCCCATTATTTTTTATTAATGAAAGTATTTATATTGGCCTGATGATAACAAACGTATAAGCCTAATGAAACTTGTCTACAGAGTGGCTCTAAGAGTGCAGATCGCCACCAAGGAAAGGCACCCTGAGCTTCAGAGATAACTTGCCACTAACCTCTTCACTATAGCCTATCTTCATCGTGTCAAGTTACCTCTGACCACATTCGATAGCCCCCGCCGCCCGCCAATCAAATTTAAAGCCCGCACTCAATGACTCATTGAACGATCTAGCCAATGAACGCGAACGAGTCAAAGCGCGCTTTGTTCAAATCCGGACCAATCAAAGATAAGGCTGAATATCAGGGACTTGCCGTAACCTGTGGGCAGCACGCAAAATACATCATCCCTCAGTAGATAATGATGCAGGGCCTCAAACTGCTCTGGTTTCAATTCCGATATACTCATATTTTGCAAAGAATCAAGAGATAACTTAACACATTATTTTACGTAGTCACTCGTAGGAGACGCCATGCTTTCTTTGTGTTCGGTTATGCACTCGGAACTACTCGGATGTCTCCGCACTCGACAATAACTTTGTTGTTAGTATGGAGCTTGCGGAATCAGCCGAGGATTGCCGATTGACGGTCAACCAATCAGCGTTTTCACCAAACTTTGGTGAAAAATTTTGAAACTTGGATTCGATTGGCTTATATAAACTAGGTCAAACTATTTTCGTCAGAGGTAACTTGACACGATGAAGATAGGCTATAGTGAAGAGGTTAGTGGCAAGTTATCTCTGAAGCTCAGGGTGAGGAAAGGGAACTTCGAAACTAATTTTAAAATATTAAGAGATTCGGATACATTTCTGAACCGTTTTGGAAGTTTGGACAGTGAAAAGGGAGTTATAAATATGGAATCCCATGCATAGTTTTAAATCTATACTTTTATCAGTTCCTTATGTACGTTGATAATCTGAGCATGCTAGCAAAGGTGTTATATGTATCGAATAACAAATCAAAGTGCATCGTGTATACATTGTAGTTTTCACATTGTTATATATTTTCTGTCAATTTTCTTTTTTATGCTTATACAACCTTTATAAAACCAAATATTAGTTCAAATATATAATACTTAATTATTAATTGTATTATATATGGGTTTCGCTGCTTTATTAAACCAGTTTGGTAAATTCCATCAATCACTGTGAGCTCTTTTATACGAAAAAAACTCACTTTACAAGCAATTTTATATGCACAATTAACTACATTGATCAATGAACTATTTAATCAATCCATATGCTGTGGGAGCCCACGTGTTGACTTTTTAAAGTCATACAAAGATAAAAAGGCATCAGGTGACTTTATCCGCACCTTAAAACATGGCGACCGTTTCAGGTGTAGATGATGATGATGATGATGATGACGCGAGCCTGAGGGTAAAGATTCGAGAAAATTTCACCAACTGTTCCATCTGTCTCAAAGATTTTGAAGATCCAACAGCTCTACCCTGTCTCCACACCTACTGTAAACGATGTCTGGTCAGCTACATCCCCGATAATACACCAGGTATGGCGTGACCCAAATTTAACCAGGAAGTAGATACATTTTTAAGTCCGGCAGACAGAAGGCACCATGGGTACGGGTTGAGTGGCCAAGGTTCGTTGGTATTATGAGAAAACTCATTTCCTCAGAAGTCAGATTATGTGTGGTAGCACTTTAAATTAGTGGTTTTCAATGTTAAATGGTAATTACAGGTATATAGCACCTTGTTGCATCTAAAAAGGTATGGGTAGAAAAAGAAAACATTCACTTTATGAAAATAACATAAGATAGAGCAATAATTTTAGTATCATTATGCATCTGAAGTATACTTCTTAAAAAATAGGCGAAGTGAATTTTGTAATACGGAATAATATGTAAACAAAGAGGCCAGAGGTAACCTGAGGTCAAATTTGAGGCATTTTCAGGAAATATAAACCAGTAAGTTATTTTTAAGTGAGAATGTAATTCGATATTAATGGTTTATGGTTATTGCTGATAACTGCTGCAATTATTTAAGGGATTTGATGAGATTTGACAATGACAGCATGAGACTTTTATGGACGACACAAGTAATATAGGGGGTGTTTGGTCAATTTATGAATAATAAAGGCAGAGGAGGACAAATGCCCACCATTTCATAGGTTTGCTAGATATGAAATTATTTTGCTAGAAATTATTCTTATATATTTGGCTAAATGATTGCTCTTAAAGATGAAATAATAAAAAAATTATAATATTTTTAATACAGAAATTAAAGTCAAAGGGCCATCGTCATCTGAAGTCAAATTTGATGGATTTTCAGGAAAAATTAACACAAAAGTTATTTCATTAAGGGAATGGAAATGAAAAAATACTATTAAGATTATTTCTAATAAATTGTTAATTATTTAAGGTATATGATGATATTTGACAGTTTTATTTTTTTACAATTAGAGAGATTTGTGAATGAAAATAGTACTGACGGGGGTTCAATTCATGAATAATGGGGGCTGGAGAGGAAACATTTTCATCCTCTGATAGGTTTGCTAGATATGAATACAGATAATGCTAATTTATATCTCTTAATGATTGCTCTAATAGGTAAAATAACAAATGTACTCATATCTAGCAAACATATGAAATGGTGAGCATTTTTCTACATTACAGATAATCCTCTCAATTTCAGGAGGCAAGTTCCTGTGTCCCTTGTGCCAGAAAGTGACAAAACTCCCGGAAGATGGAGTTGATGGATTTCTCCATAACTACTTTATTGACAGCCTCCAGGACACTGTGCTCACACTGACCAGGAAGAAGAAATGTGGTGCCTGTGCCGTAGAGGGCGAAGATGTTGAGGCAGTGTCCAAGTGCCTCAACTGCAGTGAGTACCTCTGTGGTCCTTGTGCCAAGTCTCATATCCGTTTTAAAATATCAATGAACCACAAAATCTACACCTTAGAGCAGCTACACAGTGGGGAACACCAACAAGAGCTCCAGGAATTCCAGCGTGTTTACTGTCCTGAACACAAAGAAGAACCTATCAGGTATTTCTGTCTCAAGTGCCAGATACCCATATGCCGTGACTGCAAGGCCCTCACTCACGATGAGCACAAGAGCACATCTCTGGATACTGCCATAGAAACAGTGAAGCCCAGACTGGCGTCCATGCTGGAGAAGTTAGACGACAAGATCAGCATACAAGAAAACGAGCTAACTGTCTTGCAGGGTGTGCTTAGAGATCAAGATACCAATACCAGCTCTGTGATGAAAGACATCTCAGACCACAGCCGCCATCTGCAGCAACAAATTCAGCAGCAGGAGAAGAAGCTTCTCCAAGAGGTTCAGCAAGTCAGCGAGGCTCATAAGAAGAACATCACCTTGTACATGGAGAGTTGTGAGGTCACCACGTCAACCATGAAGAGCACCTCAGATCTAGTCGGCAGCATCCTGTCCCGTGGTACTCCAGCCGAGATCCTCATTCTACAGCAGCAACTAGGAGACAGGTTACAGGTGCTTCTGCTGGCATCTGGTGGCGGTGATATCCCACAACACCTCAGCCTACAGCTACAGACCAACAATGATGTTGACAGAGAAGTGAACAAGGGGACAGGTCTTGGGAAGATACAACAAAACAGACAAGATATTCAAGGCATTATTTCACGTGGACCATTGACAGTAACACGGAAGGCACAGATCAAAGAAAAACCACACTTGGTTAGTCAGTTTGATTCAAACTGTACCCGTCCATATAGTCTGGTCACCTGTGCCAAACCGCAGCAGGGATACCTGGTGGTGGATTATTATAACAACATAGTGTGTAGATTCAGCTTAGATGGACAACTCCTTGTGCAGCAATCCAAGGCTGGTAACAGGTCACTAGGCAGCCCTTTTGGTATAGCAGTACTACCTGATGGCACCATAGTGGTCTCTGAATATAACAACAACAAACTAACCTTCATGTCACAGGACTTAACTCTCATGAAAAGAGTTTATATCAAATGCCCAGGTGGTTTACATGTCACCGATACCAAAACCATCCTAGTTGCTCAACCTGGCTTAAAGCAAATTAGTATTCTCACCATATGTGGTGCCACAGTGGGTACCATAAAGCACAGTGGATTTCGGTGGCCTTGGTATGTGGCAGTTCTTAACAATGGGAACATGGTTGTTTCTGATCACAATGCTAAAGCAGTCTTCATCCTGAGCATCACTGGGTCACTGCTCCACACATATACTGGCTCTGGACAGCATCAACTCTGTGAACCACACGGAGTCTGTGTTGACCAGTATGATAACATTATTCTGATTGCTGAGTATAGCACCAACAACATTCACATCATATCTAAAGATGGTGAGTTTGTCCAGTATTTAGCAACTAAAGATGATGGGCTGCAGGGTCCCAGTGGTTTAGCCATCAACCATGATGGCAATTTAGCAGTGTCCCAGTTTGGAGGGAAGATCAAGGTGTTTAGATACAAGAATTTACTGTGGAAAAAATGAACTGTTGTTGAAGATTACCCTTGTGATAGCAATTTGTTTTAGAAAAATACATTGTAGTTCCCACTGAAAGATTTTAAGGTCAGAACTCCATGGGAATGTTCCAAAGAACACGAGAGATTACGGGTAAAACATCAGCTTACCCCTCAGCATGTATCAAATCTTCAACCGGCAATGTCCTTTATGAACCGGAAGACGTTGCAAGACGATGACTAGAATACCTAGGTCAATTATTCGAAGATGTATGAACCGTGGAAGAGTTCACCCAGCTCAAAAACCTTTTAGACCCATCAATTACAAAGGGCGATGGTCCCTTCAGAATATGAAGCCAAACAAAGCCACCGGCCCAGATGATGTTGCCACAGAAATGTTTAAAGCACTAGGTGAAAAAGATATCAACACAATCTAGTCAAAAAGATTACGAGTCTGGAGAAATGCCTGATTTCATGCGAATTCACACAACGGAAGCGAAGATATATAAGTAGCTTTAGATAATATTTCACACCTAGCAGTTCAAATGTATATGTCCTTTGTTTCAAGCTTGCAATCCTTTAGATCTTAACTACATGGAGTTATTCGGTGTGCCCACAATGAGGGGACAGATTTGTGTTTGAATTATCCAATCACTTTCCGATTTATCTTAAGGAGAGACTAGGAGAGAGATTAGAGGTCTGGATTGAGGCTTGGATATGACCATGTTTGTACCATATAACTTTTAGTTTAACAAAATATATATTCTGTTGAAGTAACAACATGGAATCGTTTCATTCTTGTCCGTGTGCTGAGTTTAAGACATATAATCTGAGAATTTCAGTAGCAGTTTATCAGATCGCGTTATCCAAAGATGACGGCACATACTGCTTAACTCCTGGGGTTTTATTATAAAGGGTTATTTAAGGTTGCGTGGGTCGGGATGGTCATACAAAGGTCCCTCACAAGTCAGATGGTCCGACACAATAAGTCGTCAAGGGTAGTATCGGCGTTGGCATCTTAGAAAGAGTGTTCTCATTCAGTGTAACAAGTCAAAAGAAAATTTAGAAAAAAGTAAAAGTGATAGTAACCTAGTACTGTTGTTTACTTTACTATTTATGAAATTGCAGTTATCTACATATGTATTTATGCGTGGCTTAGGGCAAGTGTGCGGGGTGTGACGCTTGTGCTTTAATGATTCTTTTCAGTTTAAAAATGAACAGGTAAAGGAAAAACTACTATAGCCATGAAAGGAATTAAGTATAGCAGACACGCGCATTTACAGCATGTTATGCAATAAAACATATTTACGCTTTTAATACCGAGCACAGTCCAAGGAACTTATAATGGAGGTAATTGTAATGGCATTTTGCCCCCTAATTATAAAAAAGATTTTATATCCTTAAAGCGTACGTGGTTAATTTATATTAAACAATGCAAATGAATAAATATTGTGAAAAAAAACAACCCGCTAAGCTTATAAGAGCAGTGCTGAATCAATAATATAAATATAGCCCTTTCTCAATATACCATACCTCCATCTTCCCTCCTCCGGTGCCACTGAACAAGAAGTTTGCATAGAGTTCACCAAAATCCTCCAAGGTTGGATCGCTACTGCCAGCGATGCTCACCTTCAAGCCGGATTTTCCTGAATGTCCAAATTTAGTGGTATTCAAGATTTTCTGTCAGGAAACTTTTTTTAAAAAATTTTTCTGACGTTATTGCACTGTGTGAGTGTGGGGGGATGCATGTTGGTGTATGGAAAATTTCAATCGGCAACATACCTTATGCAGACACGTGATCTACTTTACTCATTTTTACATATTTTGAGTATTGATTGTGATCAAGCCAGTGGTCACAAAATATATCATGCGCGGAATATTTTGTTTAACATTTTAACATATCAGATATATCGCTACACAAATATACCATCAAAAATAGCAGTTGGATTTCCATCCGGCCCAGCGACCAGCTGCTTCACATTGGTCCCCATACTAGTGACTTTATTCCAAGGTTTCCCCTGCTCGCTCAGAGTCTGCTCCTGCATCTGGTCTGTGCGTGAAGACTTGTTCCATCTGTCCAAGGTGGCGTAACTATCGTAAACGATCCCATCAGCCCCCATTACAACTTGAATAGAAAACAAAATGCAAATGCGTTTTTATCGCCTTAGAGATTATTACAGAGAGAAGCTTATCTATTGAGGTTACGTGCCCCGATGGATAGCACAGATTCCATAATAATTTCGCCGTTTTGGTTGTAAAATTAATTTTATTACATAACTATGAGTAAAGTAATTCAGTAGAGAATATCCTACGGGGTCATGGCCACCCAGTCATGCTCCAGAATGATAATGCTACTGCGCGTACAGCCAATGCAACGGTAGGCTGGTTATATGCGAACCAGAGCCACCCCACCCCCCTCCCGCCAATGTCCAGCTCAGTCCCTCGATCAGAACAGACTCCCGCACAGAAGTATCTTCCAATATGTGGTTTTGTTTTTTATTATTGTTAGCTTTGTCAATGGTTGTACAATCAGTAAATTTTGTGAAAAAATCTTTTTTAGAATTTGAATAAAAACATGGCATGATTTTCTGTATCACTTTAAACATTGCATTAAGGGTGACACTTTTTTGCTAGGGGAGTGTACACGCTAAACTTAAAAAAAATCTATAGCTTTCCCTTACTTGCATACGGCATCTGTCGTATAGGTGACATGCCTTTCTTTAACTGGTTGATGGCGAAGTGATGGGTGGGTAGCGCCCCTGTGGCCCGGTGGGAACCCCATCTCTTTGAAGGCGGCACGAGGCCTTGTAACTCAGTATTAGTGCCCCATGTTTTAGAGGGGTCAGTCGTGGAGTAGGGTTGGTCATTCAGTGGAGTACATCCCGGTGGAAGGCTGGCGTCGGCAACTGGAAAATATCGTTGATATAACTTTATGTTCAACTATATGTAAGTAGAGACACAAATGATCGGCCATCCCCGCGACTGAAATAAAAAACAACGACAAAAAAAACGAACCCCAGGATGTCTAGATAGTCTTTTACGTTTTCTGATGGACTGTGTCATTCAATGTTTTTCGCCTTTAGAATAACATAATAGTTACCTGCTATTATGAGCAAAAGCCACCACATCATCAATGTCTGGATCCCTTCAGCAATATTAATGCGTCATTTATACTGCTGGTGTCTAAACTGATATTTGTCCGATATCAGCACGATATCTTGGTGTAAAATTATATTGATAAAGTAACACAATGACTGAATGATGGTACATTTATATAGGCCAACTGATAGTAGCTAATTTGGTATTTCCAATTCACATCTTGGAGAGTATACTTCACTTATGAGAGCTCATTCAAATTCATGTTAGAAAAATCTCTTGAAAGAAATTACTGTTTCCAAAACTCTGCAGCAATAACAGACTATCTGCTTAGCGAACTACAGAAATCAGTTCAGTACGAAATGTTTTTAACACTCAGATTTTTTTATCCCTCGTATCTTCTTCTTTGCATGCATGCAATTGATTAGAAGGTATAAATTGTTCCGAAAAGACAAAGAGTTATGTTTTTTACTGACGACTTACGTAAAATTGGCACAATTAGTCTGGTTAACGGCCTTCAATATTTCTTATTTAGAATTATTTTAATAAAATCTCTCAACAGAAATTACACTCGCCATTATGGAACTGGTTTAAAACGATACCGAGGGACACCTTAAAGACCTCTAATGATAAACATATCGTCACATACCGTGGTTACAGTCCACGTTACTACAATGGTCCTGACTTAGTATGGCTTGATTCCAGCAATTGTCAGGGGCACACGGCATTTCAAACCCCCTGCGAGATGTGTCACACTGGATAAAACGTTTACAGCTCAACGGATGGGCAAAATAATACTGATCTGACGGACCCAGTGAGCATATCGAATCTAAAAGTAGAGGTAAATGTATGTTTGTCATAAAAACATAAAAAGTTTTTTCCCATTGTGGACATCCTTGTATTAATAAGACTGACATAATAAAATACGAGTAATACTCTTATTTGATCGATGAGTCAAAGTATTTCGATTTTTGATTCTTTTTCAATACTGTCATCCTAAATACTAACCCAGTTTATCTTGTGTGAGTGCCTCTGTCGTCACGAGGAGACTAAGGAGAACCGCACAACCAGCTGTGAACCTTAAGTTACCTGATCCCAAGAGCAAGAAAAAAATCATTATAAAGTAATATCATATCAAAATATTAAATAGGGTTGTTTCTCAAATGGCGTGTTGTTAATAAGAAGTGTGAAAAAAATAGTTTTAACTATATTAAAACACAGTACATACATGTAATCAGCGCGGTTTCGCTTCCTTGGCGAGTGTGTATAGAAAAACATAATGAAAATACAAACACACATTTTAAACGCGTGTTTAATATTTATGAACACAATTCGTACATGATAGTCTAGATAAAGATGTCTCAAAATCTTCACAAAATAATTATAACACTCACCCATTTTGACTGCCATATCGAGGCCTGGACAGGTTTTTATCCCCGAAACTTCGTATTTATTAGTATGCTGATTTATACAAAGAATTATGTAGTCGCCGCTTTGATATATGGTAGGTGTTGGCAAAAGCTGGGCGGTTTTTCACCTACATGTAACTACATGTACCATCCCTGCTAGATGACTGCCTTTATTGTGTGAAATATTTGAATTATTTTCATTTATATCTTTAAGTCTAATGAACTATACATTTTAAAGCGCCCGGGGAAATTACCTAGCGACCATCGTATACGTATAAAGTTACTGAGTCAGAACGGTCCCGTTGTCACGAAACTGAAGGTCCGTCCTCCATATAGTTATAGGTTTATTAGGGTTAGCCTGACCTAAGTGGATCAAAATCTAGAGCGAGGCTTACCTGAACAAAGTAATGGGAAGTGGACTCTCTGTCACCGGGGGGGGGGGGGGGGGGGGGGGCTTTCTGGCACATGACAACGGACAATAACATGGGGTAATATTCGATAAACCTGTATAGAAATACAGATTATAACATTTGGAATTTGAAGCGTGAATTTTGTTAATTTCTTCATTTTAACTGGACTTGACGCTTGGTTTGTGCTTGGTTCTTGGAAGCATTGTGTGCTTTTTCATTTTAGGCACATGTAGTATTTTGGCATCTTCACTTAAACTTAAAAGCTACATATAAAGTGAGCGTGGATTGCCAGTAACGCGTTATAAACCACACCTGCTAGTTTCTTATACGACTAAAATCAAGACACCATACCAAGTCTTAAACCAAATTTTTCTCTCTTTTAGCCAAGAAAAAATTGAACTGCACCTTCTCAAAAATGTAGGGCGTTAATTATATATATATCCTATTTGTCTGTTCTTCCAGTACCAAAGTGCTAGCCACGTGGTCCGAACGTGACGTGTTTGCTGGGCAGGGTCACTCCACACAACTCAACTGAGAGTGACTGACCAGCAGAAAGTGTGACGTTGAGTGGGCACTGCATTCACCGGACTTGAACGACCCCATATTTTTATCAGTAGGGGTATTTCAATGATGATTTTTACCAGAACAACCCTCAAACGATTGGTAAACTGAGGGCAGCAATCACAGCAAAAGTCAGAGAAATCCCGATGAAGGAATGTGTTCAAGTAATTGACAATTTTTTCGCGTCCTATGCCAGTGTGCCTCCAATGCGGTGGAGGCCATTTGGAGCATATCTTTAAAGAGAACATAGCTATTATGGAGAGTGACCAAGATAATTGAAACTTTGGCGAGTGATCATGGACATTTTGTTTAAATCCGACAAATTTCTTAAAATGTGTTGGGTCTTTGTAGGATTTAATTTTTTTTAAGGGGGGTTTCACCCTATAGTTTAAGCTACGGTATTTTGGACAGCGAATGTTTTGACACTATGACTAACACGCTAGTTTTTATTCAAATAGATCTAGAACCTTGTAATTGGTAAAGAATGACCCTTGTGGAGAAGTTCGTTTGAATGTTGTTCAATGTTTAATGGTTACTCACCAACTTTGTACGTTTGTGATAAAATCAAGACTAAAAGGAGAACTCCGAAATTCAGCATGAAAAATCAGAAACGCTTGAACAGGAATGCAGTGTAGAGAGCATTTTTATAATTCAGTTAACACGAGTCTTGATAGACTGAGGAACATGAAAAACGATTAAAATGCCTCTCACAATACTGCAATGTTCTTACCTAATACTGGAGCAATTATTAAAGCCAAGTAAGTTTTTGAGGCTTGACTTTGGAATTATATACTGGTGCAGTGGAATTATTCTTTTGATATTTTCCTGAGGAAATCTGGCTCTAATATACAAAGGTGCAATGAATTGCAGTGGGGGATTTAGGGGGGTCAGAAGGGTCTTGACAACCCCCTTCGATTTCTGAAAAAAAATCACACCAATGGTCCCCTCTTGAGATTAGAATTTTTAATAGCTGAATCATAGTTCTAAACCGTACCAAATGGCCAATGAGGGAGGGTCGACTTCAGATCCGCGGACCCCCCCCCCCTTCAAATAATCCTGGATCCGTCCCTGGATTGTTATATAAAGTGGGTAGAGTAGGTAGCACTCGTTTTGAGGGCAATTCCATCGTAATCTTTAATTTTAACCTCTTAACCGATTTAATATTTGATAGGATTTTTTTATTATGGTACTCAAGTGTACATTAATATAACCAGACAATGCTTGAAGGTTTTAGAAACTAGATACGGTAGGTCGAACAGAAAAAGGGGAATCCCCTTTAAAACAATGACGCATTGATTATCGTAAAATGGCGACGGCTTCAATCGAAGATGAAGACGAAAGTTTGAGGGCTAAGATTCGAGAAAATTTCACCAACTGCTCAATTTGTCTTAAAGATTTTGAAGATCCAACAGTTCTCCCCTGTCTCCACACCTACTGTAAGCGATGTCTGGCCAGCTACATCCCCGATAATACACCAGGTAGGCCCTATTGCGTGCTGTCACCCAAATTTAACCAGGAAGTAGATTCATTTTTGTTAAGAACATGCACTGTCCATATTCTTTATTAAGATAAACTAATGTTGAATGGTAATTGTACATCTGGCTAACATTGACATCGGCCCTTATAAATGTGTATAAACTTCAAATCATAGTTCAAATTTAAAAGCAAATTTTTTGCCTGCAATAGTAACGATTATCTAAAATGTTTGTTTTCCTCCATCTTCGAAAGTTGTCAATGACCCTAAATGTATTAATATAAATTATACCTCTATTTTAAAATGTAATCAGCCCGATTTTTCAATGCATAATCATATTGAAAATTGCAACCAGTTCAATTCGTATTCAAATTGACCAAATAAACATCAATATACAATATTATTGATTAAACATTTTTATTAAACATGGCTAACATAAAAAATAATATTTGACAGCAATTGGGGCATATAAACTACATGTAACAAAGCAATATCAGTATTAGTAACCTGTGGAGTGTTAATTCTTCTTTATTTCAGGAAGCACGTTCTTGTGTCCCTTGTGCCAAAAAGAAACAAAACTCCCGGAAGATGGACTTGAAGGCTTCCTCCATAACTACTTCATAGACAGCCTCCAGGACACTGTGCTCACACCTACCAGGAAGAAGAAATGTGGTGCCTGTGCCGTAGACGGTGAAGATGTTGAGGCCGTGTCCAAATGTCTGAACTGCAGTGAGTACCTCTGTGGCCCTTGTGCTATGTCTCATATTCGTTTCAAAATGTTGATAAATCACAAGGTCTACACATTCGAACAACTACGTAGTGGGGAACACCATCAAGAGCTCCAGAAATTCCAGTTTGTCTCTTGTCCTGAACACAAAGAAGAACCTATCAGGTATTTCTGTCTCAAGTGCCAGATGCCCATTTGCCGTGACTGTAAGGCACTCACTCATGATGAGCACAAGTGCACATCCTTGGATACTGCCATAGAAACAGTGAAGCCTAAACTGGCGTCCATGCTGGAGAAGTTAGACGACAAGCTCAGTCTACAAGAAAACGAAGTAACCGTCCTTCAGGCTGTGCTCAGGGACCACGATACCAACACCAGCGCTGTGATGAAGGACATCTCAGACCACAGTCGCCATCTTCAGCAACAGATTCAACAGCAGGAGGAAAAGCTTCTCCAAGAAGTTCAGCAAGTCAGCGAAGCTCATAGGAAGAACATCACCTTGTACTTGGAGAGTTGTGAGGTCACCATGTCAACAATGAAGAGCACCTCAGATCTAGTTGGTAGCATCCTGTCCCGTGGTACTCCAGCCGAGATCCTCATTTTACAGCAGCAAGTAGGAGAGAGGTTACAGGAGCTCCTGCTGCCATCTGGTGGCGATGATATCCCAAAGCACCTCAGCCTTCAACTGCAGACCAACAAAAATGTTGATAGAGAGTTGAACAAGGGGACAGGGCTTGGGAAGATACAACAAAACAGGCAAAATATTCTAGGTATTATTTTACCCGGTCCATCGAATGTAACACGGAAGGCACAGATAAAGAATAAGCCACGCATCGTTAGTCAGTTTGATTCAAACTGTAAAAATCCATTTAGTCTGACCACCTGTGCCAAACCGAAGCAGGGATACCTGGTGGTGGGTTACGGCAACAACAAAGTGTGCAGATTCAGCTCAGATGGGCAACTCCTTGTGGAACAATCCAAGGCTGGTAACAGGTCACTGAAAAGTCCCTTTGGTATAGCAGTGCTGCTTGATGGTACCATAGTGGTCTCTGAATTTGGCAACAGTAAACTAATCTTCATGTCACAGGACTTCACTCTCACCAAAGAAGTGGATATAGAAGTTCCTGATGGTGTACATGTTACCAACTCCAATACCATCCTGGTTGCTCAGCCTGAATTCAAGTTAATTAGCATTGTCGACACTCACGGTGCAGCAGTGGGTGTCATAATGCACGCTGGCTTTCAGTGCCCTTGGTATGTGACAGTTCTTAACAATGGGAACATTGTTGTATCTGATCGCAGAGCAAAGGCTGTGTTCATCCTGAGTCCCGCTGGGTCCCTGCTCCACATCTACACTGGCTCTGGACAGAATAAACTCAGTGTACCTGGCGGTGTCTGTGTTGACCAGTATGATAACATTTTCATCGCTGACCACATCACCAACAAAATTCACATCATATCAAGTGATGGTAAATTTGTCCAGTTCTTAGCAACTGGAGATGACGGACTGCAGCATCCACGTGGTTTAGCCATCAACCATGATGGTGATTTAGCAGTCTCTGAGGACGGAGGGAAGATCAAGGTGTTTAGGTACATTGATTCGGACTAGATGCAAATGAATAAACATGTCCTGTGGAGATCGATCAGTGATAAATGGTATTTTTTTACTGTGGTGAATGTAAACCGTTTCTGAAGAGACACGTGCTTCATTACCTATGATTACGATTATGATTGGCCTACTTTTAACTGAATTTCGTTATGGTTGTTGATTGCCATCATGATAGATATTTTTTAGTAACATGGTTGTGTAAATTTGCGTACAATAAAAAACATATTTGTTCTTATATCCAGTGCATGCCGTGGTAAATTCAGAAAGGGATTAAAACAGAATGACTCTTGCTGTTTTGTTCTAGATAATTATCTTCACAAATAACATAATACACTGTATCATTTATCTGACATATCTGATCTCACGTAGTTTTAAGCCTTCATACGCATAGCAATTTTGGAATTTCGTCTTAAAAAAAAGAATTAAAAATGCTAATAAAAATAACACAAAACAAAACAAAAAAAAACCATTTGTAATAATTATCACTGTTTCGACATTAACTTACATCGGAAACTCCATGCAATGAAAAATTTATTCTATCATCTCACAAGAATAAGATATAATCTATGATTTAATTTTTTTCAAATTCTCTTTTTTTCAAAATTTTAAATGTAGAAAATTTTTCTATTTGATACTATGTGTTTTCGATCCTAAACTATGGAAGCAAAATCCGGGGGGGTTCGTAATTTTTCAGATATACAAAAGGTACCTCTGCATTACTGTAAAGTAATCTTGGGAGTAAGTAACACAGCTATTTAAAATGAATTATGGTGATTGCAACTAAAATATTATGTGAAGTATTGGATTAGGTTTTAGGAACGCAAAACTTTAGTTTAGGGGAGATGTATGACAATCTACTACTTTTATTCAATGAGCTTAACAAATGGGCCACAAAGAAAAAATAACATTTAACACGTCTTAGACTGTCAGATGTGTGGGAGCATCAAAACATATCGGATGTAGCATATTTTCTGAAAGCCTTTTAAGCACGTTTAAAGGATACTTTAATTCAAGAAATTCGTATAAATATACAATACATTTTTGTCCTGAAATACCACCTTCGAAAAAATCTCTTTTAAAAACAAGACAAATAATATGCAAGTTTAGAATATCAGACCATAATCTTATGATTGACAAGGGAGATACCACAACGCACCAAAAGCAGATAGAACGCATATAAATTGATAGAAGATTCACAGAGGCTGAATTTCATTTTGTCTGTATTTGTCCACATTATAGTGATCTAAGCAAAAATAGATTAAAAATTATAACTGGCAGAAACTCTTGGTTTTTAAATTAATACAATTATTAAGAACGCAAAATGTGGCAGATAATAGGAATCTTGGAAAAATTTTCATGGGGGAAAACAGATATGTGAGAACCGTAAGTCTCATATTAAGTTTGTATATAAGCAATATTTTTATCATTATCATTACAGGGGCACAGTAATTAAATCCATTCGACCTGACGCATGGGTAGGCGTGTAAGAGGAGAAGATACCATTGTAGTGTTTAATGGTATCTTAAAAATCACTTTGAGTTATTTATGTTCATCTCTCACCCAACAAGCGGGTTTGTGACAAACTCAATAATCAAATAAATAGGCAGTAATAAAAAGAAAACCCCGAATTTCAGCATTAAAAATCAGAACGTGCATGTAAGTACAGAACGTAAGTACAGTGTACAGGTCACTTTTTAAAATTAGTTAACATAAGTTTTGATCCATCGAGGGATCTTAGAAATAAAAACAAATAAAATGTCCCCCATTCTACTACAATTTTTTCAATTAATATTGGACCACCTTTCAAAACCATTGTTGATTTGTAGTTAGATGTTACAATTCTCAAAATTGAACAATAAAATTCTGCAGTGGAATTATTATAATGTATTTTCCCGGGGAAAACGGGATTCAATATTCAAATATGTCACGGGTTGGTATAGAAATTGACGTGTAGGGTAGGCAGATTTCGTTTTGGTAGCAATTCAATAGTTATTTTTAATTTTTACTTCCATAACGGAGACCCTATTTGTGCATCATGAAATTTGCTAAAACCCTTTTTGTGCATCATGAAATTCGCAATTTTCTTAACCCATTTAATATTTAATCTGATTTTATTATGGAACTCATATGTACTATTAGGATAACCAGACGTTATTTTTGGATTTCTCCCTAGAACTAGAAACTAGCTAGGTCGAACAGAAAAAGGGGAATCCCCTTATCAATGGCCCATGTGACGCACTGCTTATTTTAAAATGGCGACCGCTTCAATCGGAGATGAAGACGAAAGTTTGAGGGCAAAGATCCGAGAAAATTTCACCAACTGCTCCATCTGCCTCAAAGATTTTGAAGATCCCACAGTCCTTCCCTGTCTCCACACCTACTGTAAGCGATGTCTGGCCAGCTATATCCACGATAATACACCAGGTAGGCGGTGGCGGATTTAGAGGGGGGAGCACGGGGGTCCTGCCACCCCCCCCCCCCCTTCGGTTTTTGAAAAGTACATCACACTAACATGCCCCTCTTAAAAATTAGAACTTTGACTAGCTTAATCATAGTTCTAAACCGTACCAAAGGGCACTGTTTGCTCTCCAAAACACCAGGGCCCAGTTTTATAAAGGACGTTTAGCACTAACCAGTGGATAAGCCTAACCAGTGGATAAATTCCCCTAACACCCATTAACTAAAAGATGGTTAAAATGTGTTTTATATATAGTCTTCTGACGGAAAACAGCCAATCAGTTAACTGGCCAGTGTTTAACTGGATTAAATAATTATTTAACGGTCAGTTTACTAACAGACTATTTAGGTCTGGTTAGAGTTAAACACTGGTTAGTGCTAAACGTCCTTTATAAAACTGGGCCCAGAAATGTTTCGGGGGCCCTTGTGCAGGAACCCCACGCCAAGGGGGCGATGGTCGGCTTCGCATCCGAGGCCTGTCGTTCCAGACCCCCATTCAAACAATCCTGGATCCGCCCCTGGGTAGGGCATGTTGTCACCCAAATTTAACCAGGAAGTAGATACATTATATTGTTAAGAACATGCACTGCCCCTATCCTTTATTACATGAGTGACCATGCAGCTACTGTATAGGCCCTTCCCTGATCATACAGCAAGTGCGACATGTCATATGTCAGAATGAGGAAAATTAACTTTGGGCACTATTGTACATTAATATAAAATACCGGCACTGTGAAGTTTATCATGGCATTTCATAAGTGATAATTTAATGTTAAGTTGGGCGGGAATTGCACATTCGACTAACATTGGTAACGGCAATATGTATTAACTTCAAATGAGGTTTTAAATTTAGAGGCCACTTGTGTTAGTAATTTTTAGCTACCATTTAATGTCTACTTTCCTACATCTTAGATAATAATCAATGTTCCATAGAGAGGACTATCAATATAAATGTTACCTCTAACTTAAAACCTAATCAACCCGACTTTTCAATTCATAGGGCCTAATCATTATTAAAAATTACAGCCAATTGAATTCATATTCATATTGGCCAAATACGCATTTTAGTAAAAAATAAAAAAAGGTTTGAAATCAAATACACAGTGTTAATGATTAACATTTTACTAAACATTACTAGCGTAAAAAAATTCTTGACAGAAATTGGGACATATAAAGTACATATAACCAAGCAATAAAAAACACTTATGCCTCAGTAAAAAGTAAAATGTAAATTATTCTTTATTCTAGGAAGCATTTTCCTGTGTCCCTTGTGCAAGAAAGAGACAAAACTCCCTAAAGATGGAGTTGAAGGCTTCCTCCACAACTACTTTATTGACAGCCTCCAGGACACTGTGCTCACACCGACCAGGAAGAAGAAATGTGGTGCCTGTGCCGTAGACGAAGAAGATGTTGAGGCAGTGTCCAAATGTCTCAACTGCAGTGAGTACCTATGTAGTCCTTGTGCCAAGTCTCATATTCGTTTCAAAATATCAGTGAATCACAAGGTCTACACCTTAGAGCAGCTGCATAGTGGAGAACACCAGCAAGAGCTCCAGGAATTCCAACGTGTCTTCTGTCCTGAACACAAAGAAGAACCCATCAGGTATTTTTGCCTTAAGTGCCAAATACCCATTTGCCGTGACTGCAAGGTCCTCACTCATGATGAGCACAAGTGCACATCCCTGGATACTGCCATAGAAACAGTGAAGCCCAAACTGGCGTCCATGCTGGAGAAGTTAGTCGACAAGATCAGCGGACAAGAAAACGATTTAACCACCCTGCAGGGTGTGCTTAGGGACTTTGGTACCAATACCAGCTCTGTGATGAAGGATATTTCAGACCACAGTCGCCACCTTCAGCAACAGATTCAGCAGCAGGAGATAAAGCTTCTTCAAGAAGTTCAGCAAGTCAGCGAGGCTCATAAGAAAAACATCACCTTGTACATGGAGAGCAGTGAGGTAACCACGTCAACCATGAAGAGCACCTCAGATCTAGTGAGTAGCATCCTGTCCCGTGGTACTACAACCGAGATCCTCATTCTACAGCAGCAAGTAGGAGACAGGTTACAGGAGCTTCTGCTGCCATCTGGTGGAGGTGATATCCCACAACACCTCAGCCTACAACTACAGACCAACAATGATGTTGATAGAGAAGTGAACAAGGGGACAGGACTTGGAAAGATACAACAAAAAAGACAAATTATTCAAGGCATTAATTCACGTGGACCGTTGAATGTGACACGGAAGACACAGTTCAAAAAATAAACCACACATGGTTAGTGAGTTTGATTCAAACTGGAAACGCCCATGCAGTCTGATGACCTGTTCAAAACCTCAGCAGGGATACAGTACCTGGTGGTGGATTATGAAAACAACATAGTGTGCAGATTCAGCTCAGATGGACAACTCCTTGTGCAGCAATCCAAGGCTGATAGCAGGTTAAACAGACCCTGTGGTATAGCAGTAGGCCTACTACCTGATGGTACCATAGTGGTCTCTGAATATGCGAACAATAAACTAATCTTCATGTCACAGGACTAATCAAACCTCACTAAAGAAGTGGATATCAAAGGTCCTGATGGTATACATGTTACCAACTCCATTACCATCCTTGTTGCTCAGCCTAAACTTAAACAAGTCAACATTGTCAACATTCTCTCCACTGCTCCACACCTACACTGGTTCTGGACAGAATCATCTCTGTGGACCACGCGGTGTCTGTGTTGACCAGTATGATAACTTTATGGTTGCTGACTGTAACACCAGCAAAATTCACATCAAGTGATGGTGAGTTTCTCCAGTTCTTAGCAACTAAAGAGGACAGGCTGCAGCATCCACTTGGTTTAACTATCACCCATGATGATGACTTAGCAGTGTCTCAGAGCGGAGGGAAGGTCACAGTATTTAGGTACATGGTTTCAGACTAGATGCAAATAAATAAACTTGTCCTGTAGAGATTGATCAATTATAAATGAAAATCTGTTCTGTGGTGGCTGTAAATTGTTTTTGAAAAGAAACAAACGTGCTTTGCGTAATCATCGTGCTTTACATAGATACTGAAATCAATTTGTAAATTAAAAATAATTGTTGCCATTAAATCACCAAATCATAACATATTGAACCGTGCAATTAATAATGTAATGTTGTTGACTGTCCGTCTCTAATGTGTTGATTTGTACTCTAAGTTTTGCAAGTGATAAAAACATACATATATTTGATCTTATGTCCAATGCATGCTGTAGTAAATTTAGAAGGAATTCTGTTTTGTTCTAGATAATCAACTTCATTAGTAATGTATCTGACATTTCTACTCTTATGTAATTTTAAGCTATAACATATTATATATAAATAAGCTATATTTAAGCTACTACAAACGCATGTCGATTTTTGAATTTTGTATTTTTCTAATATTACAACTTACAGACGTTAAACAAATCTGTTAAACACAGCAATTTTGTATCGAAAATGCTTATAAAAATTATTCAAAAAGACCATCTTTTATTATTTTCACTGTTTAGACAATAACCTACATCAGTAATTATAACAAAGAGCAATTAACATTCAGCAATTAACAAGCAGCGGTGCCGGGAGGAGAGTGAGAAACGAGCAACCTCTGTTCCCTTCTACTTCAGAAAAACCACAGTTCTCAGACCAAAGAGAGGAGAGAGAAACCACCGTTCGGTTCCAACTGAAAAAGTAATTTTAAAAGTCATTCAATTTTATTGAATTTTTCAGAAGACTATATAATACAAGTGAAGTATAAACAATTCTGTCACGTATGGCAACCATACCATGCACTCAAATATATTTCTATAAAAGTGCATGAGGAAATCACCTCCATAGTGACTCATCTAACACTCAAATCTTCACTAAGGCACAATTACATGCAATGAAAAACTCATTCCATTTTCTGACAACAATGATATACACCCAAACATTACCTTATGAGTGCTACATGAAGAAGTTCGTTTCTAAGTACTAGTTTCACTGCCCTGGAACCATGGAGAATAAAAAATAACTCATCATGTAACCCCCCAAAAAGACAGAACAGACATTACCGTCACAAATGGAAAACTCTCAGCTGCGGAAGTGTATTACTCAGTTTGAAAATTGTAGTGGTTATTTGTGGTGCAAAGTTATTTCAGAAATGTCTACTTACACTTGAAAACACTATATGTTTCAATCGTTTACAAAAACCCTGTTACCTATTGCACCAAGTGCTTGGACAAGAATTACCTCTTTTGTCGGACAATTTTCTAGGGAACATACATGTACGTTACGTTTTAGCCATGACGCAAAAACCCTCGAGTTACAGTTTAAATTATTACTAAGACGTCCTTGTGTCAGCTTTTATTTACCAGGAATGAATCAATACAACATATTTGGAACATGATACAAGAAAATAAGAAATGTATCACCAGAAACAACTAAGTACGAAAAACCTTAAAAAAAAAAACTTGCCGCTTGATAACCGATTAGACACTGAATAAATTCCCAGGGGGAAGTACGCAGCAAGCATTCAGGTTGGCTGGCCATATTTGATCCGCGGATTTGTAAGTCCGCTCTCAGAGCGCAACAAGGTAATCTGCAGACTAACAGATCTGCGGAATAAATATGGCCGACTCACTTAAAAGTAATGACGCTAATCCCCTAAGGGTCTCCCTGTAGGTCTACTGCCTCCACACGGGCCGTCGCTGCCTACCAATTAAACTTCACAGCCGAGATTTAATCTGTTTAAGGGCACTTGTGGAGGCGGAGAGACCGTTGGGGAATTAAGCGGCTTGCTCTTAAATGGGGTCGGCCATATTTAGTAGGCGGATAAGTTAGTCCACTGATGATCTGTTCTGAATGCGCTGTTAGTTGCAAATTTTAACAGCATTTTTAGAGTACCTTTTATACACACTTTCATTTGATAGGATCATACTGCATGCGGCGATACAGAAAGAAAAATAATTCAATCAATCACTTGTAAACCCCCCCCCCCCATTTCCATGTCGTCAGAAAATGAAAAAACGGACGTTTTTCATTTCCATTTGATAGAAATGGCCAACATGTAATGGAAAACGAAACTCAATATGGATCAAGTCCTGGGGGGAGCTGATTTGGGACACCTGAAGGCCAAATTCAGAGACGAAGGGGTAATTATAAGGCTTGTAGCCAGGTACTAACAACTTTTTGTTGACGGTGAACCGGGAACCAGCCTCGGATGCGTTAGTTCCTTTTCCCACCGTTTGTTATGAGACGACCCATGGTATTGCGTCATCTCGCGCAAAGCATGTCGGTATCTCAAAACGATAACTCGTCATGCAAAATGATAAAACGACTTTGTAAAAAAACCTTTCTCTCAAAATGATGAAAATGACGATCTCAAAATGATGTTAGCACCTCGCAAAAAATAAAATTTCTTGTCAAAATGATGAAAGTGACGATCTCAAAAAGATGTTAGCACCTCGCTAAAATTTTTTTCTGATCAAAATGATACTTTCATCTTTTTCGTACAAACGGCTTTCCATAAATATTCGGTAAAATTGTATTGAAATACAGATGATAGCATTTGAAATTTGAAACGTGAATTTTGTGTATTTCTTCATTTTAACTAGACTTGACACAAGTTTGCCCTTGGTTCTTGGAAGCATTGAGTGCTTTTCATTTTAGTCGCATGTAGTATTTTGACATCTTCATTTATTCCGTAAGATACACAAATGTGTAAAGCGAGCGTTGATTTCCAGTAATGCAAATGAACCACGCCTAATAGTTTCTTATACGATAAAAAAATCAAGTCACCATGCCAAGTCTTAAACCAAATTCATCTCCTGTTAAAATTGCACCTTTTGGTCGTAAATTGTCTTATTTGTCTGTCTCATAAAGGTCCGCTAAATAACGTAGTGCTGGGCGCGTTTTGCATAACCATCACTCTTACTTCTATGTAGTACAGATGTATACATGTAGCTACGAGCGCATTTGCACACTTACATGTATTAAATGAGACTGCTAATGTATATTTATAGCCAGAAAGAAAGAAGAAAAATATGTCCGTATATCATTTTTTCGGTAAATATGAAAAATATCCTTTGGTATTTCTCTAAGTTACTGTGTTCTATTTGATAATATATAGTCGTGTCAGACAGTCTCCTGATTCGCTATTTGGCAGTGCCATGGAAGTTTTGGACATCACTGGGA